GATGGGTCGACGACCAGTGAGTGATACACTTCCCAGCGAAGAGATGAACACACTCAGGGTCTTGGCACTCTGGGTGGCCTTCACTGTGTCTTTTGTGGGAACAGAAGGTTCTTCTTTATCGACTCAGTGGTCTTGGCACTCTTTGAAGATGTTTTCATCACTTCGGACGCAGCTGGGCCGGTTCTGACCGACACCAGGCTGTCAACCCCCCGAATGGCTTCCGACGGAACGCCACGACGTCGCGCGTCTTCGGGAGGTCCTTTCCATCGGCCTCGTGATGGCGTACATCCTGGGTATCGCAACTCCAGCTGCGATGGGCTGGGCATCCGGTGGCAGCCTTTGGTCCCAGTCACAGAACTACAGAGCCTGGCTTCTGAAAAGATAGAATCATACTTAAAGGAGTATTTTTACTACAACAACATGTTCGTTTTTCTTATACACCAATCCACTGGAATCTTTGACACTGATGCTGTGGAGAGTGGAGGGTCTGCCCTGACCCTGACGTTTGGAGGATTTGGATCAAGCTGTGCAGGAGCTGATTCCTTTCTTCACGGATGTGGCCACCTCAACTTCCAACCCCCGAGCGACTCGGGTTGACCCCCCTCTTGGTGGTCTACAGTTAACTACTGATTTCTCATAGGCATAATCATGGCCTATAATAGCCTATATATATATATATATCGTGGACGGTGACGCCACATGCTCGGCGTGAGCAGAACAGTGTGGCCGGTCTTCAGGCCGACTGGTGCGGCGGTCAAACAGGCTGCTTTAGACAATTTCAAACTGGGGGGTGGAGTGTGGCCACCCGCCGTGCCGGATGAGAATCTTCCACGCCACAGACTGTCGAAAAGCATTAACTGTGTATAATCATCCTCAGATGGCTTGAGACTGTGCTCTGGAAGCCCCTGAGTGACACGAAGTTCTACCAGTCAGGTGCTGGCAGGTTTGGATGACTTTGCACAAAGAAGCCAAGGGAAAAAACACAAGCATGTGCAGCCCCGAAGGCTCAGGTCTCGACAGGAAAGGTGACAATGATCTAGAAAGACAGCCAAGGAATTTGGCTACCCCCAAATTCCGGTCTCCTTGTCTGTCTTAGACTACATCTGCATCTTCTGGGCAAAAGAAAGCCCATGTGTCCGGGAGGTTGAGGAGAAGAGGCGCTGAGAGTTGGCAGCCAAAAAGTGAACTCGCCATAGTGGTACTGCCTGGCGAATTCGAATGTCACCCTTGTCGAATGGGTCGTGACGATGTCCGAATCTAACCATTCGTGGTTCTGATCTCGAGGCAAAGTGGGAGACAGGAATCAGCCAAAAGGCTGTGGTCTACCATGGCAGCGAAGGCTGCGTGAAGAGTAGATGCATAGCATGTCTTCCCAAAGCCAGCAAAGAATGCCAATGATTGAGCGCTGAAGCAATGCATTGAGACTGCTAAGCCCTTGCTCGCTGAGCGCCCTGGTCCTTCATTCACAAGCCAAGTCAGCGGCGGGGGCAAAACCATGCCCCACACCATAACCGAAGAGCTCAGTGCCAACTCCGTGCTGAGAGAATTGGTACCCTCAAGGTCAAGAACCACATCGTGCGGCCCTCCAGTAGTAGGAGGCATTCTACTGGTGAGGATTGCCATGGCACAAGTGAAACGGACTCCCGAACATCAGCCGACACAGCTCCACCATCTGGTCGAATTCGGGCCGAGACCTAATAGCCTATATATTGTACATTTAAGCAGGCAACCAGTACTGTGGACACTAGATGGCACTGCCGCCGCAATAGGTCGTTCTAATGCACCGAAAGTGGTTTGTTGTTCTATAGTCCATGCCTTAACCGACTATTATAACTGGCTTGAACTCGCACTGAGTGTTTGGATCCGAGCTTTTAATGTGTTCTTCTTGGGGACGACGTCCTCCAATCTGATCAGTCAAAGGAACATCAGAAGTTTCAAGAAAAACTATACTGATGACGGCGTTGGTTTCAAGTCTCGAAAGGTACATCACACCCAGACGCTCCATGGGACTGCCATATATGCCGATCAGTTGGGGTGGTTTCGGTGGGCCAATGTAGGCATGGCATACATGGAGTGTCTGGGTTAGCAAATTTAAGTGACATTTTTTGTTCTACAGGTAGCTTCATTACTCACGCTTCTATCAAGTTATCAAGTTTTCGGACCGCCAGTTTCCAACCCACGTTCCACTCGTTCAGAATCTGGAAGCTACCATGTTCCACCTCACCGCCTCATGGAGTGTATGGGACATGTGTCAACTGTGTGCGGCAAGTGCCGAGGCAAGAAACGAGTTTATTCAACACAGTGAGCAATTCCAGTGCCTTGGAGTTGAGAGGCTAACAATGCCACAGGGTTCCTCCTTACTAAGTAGGGCAAGTAGGGCATTTTTTGGTGCCTAGTATAGGGCCAGTATTATCTATAGATTTACCTATACAGTTATGTATGTTATTTTCTTATTTTTGGACCTATATTCCTTAGGAGAGCTGAATGCGGACTCCACATCTACCTGTGTGTTCCATGATCAAACGGCCACCACTTCCCGGTCGTCGGCTGACCGGACCTGGGCTCACTCGACCGGTCGACCTTGGGAAGGTTCGGTGTTGTCCTGCCGGCAGGCTTCCAAAAGCCAGTAATTACTACCATTTGGTATCAGAAATTACAGTTTTACTGACTTATAGTTTTGTATCAGAAAACAGTTATTACTGTGTTTGTATGTACTACCATTTTACTGATTTATTTTGTTTATATGTACTGAAAATGTTTTGCATTTACAGTAGCATGTTGTTCCTTTGAGCTGAACCGATGGTAAAAGGGTTTCCTCAATCCTTTGCCTCGCGTCAAACCAGTTTCATTTTGCTGGAAGGGTTTTTCCCATGCTTCTCCTTCACATATCAATCAGCGTACCAAACGATAAGCAAACGATTATCCTAAATAAATCCGACGCCGGGCACTACAAAAACCAACTTCCTCGCAATAATGATACGCATGGGGTAAGATCGCAGCTCATTTGTGTGATCTTTGACAAGCGCAGCCCAGTGCCACATAGAACAAGTCCTGTGCCATTTGTGTACGCCCATGTACGCCTGCAATCTGAGATTCTGTGGCTGTTCGAAATATGTCGTATATTCATTGTCTTCAAACCTATTTGCAGGCATGTTGTCTATAATTTAAATATATAGCTGAAATATAGTTGAATAAACCTTGAAAAACCGATATGAATCCCACCAAAAACGATCATCGTGGCAATACTGTCCGCTGCTCATGTGGTGTCTGAACCCTTCAAGCCCAACGTTGCCATCCTGGAAGCTTCAACCTTGGGATTCTGACTGTTAGCTCGGTCCTAATCATCCTAATCCCCCTTGCCCACTGGGTTCTACACCAAGTTCGACTCTACAAGCTCCCTGCTTTCAGAGATGTTATCTATTTATTTGGAATGTCGGTCGAATGTCAATCCGAGGAGCTGGGAGAAGTTCACGGAGCGCCGATGGAAAGCCTTTTGGGCGCCATGGGAGCACAAGGTGGAGGGCAAGCAAGAGGGAACCTTGGCATACCTTTCATCCGCAAAATGGGGAACGGTTCGATGATGCTAGATGTATCCAACCAACCGGTTACGAGGTTGAGAAGTGTTTCCTCGGTGTCAGAGACGAAGGAGTGCATTGCTCTTGAAGACCAGGGAGAAGTGTGGAGATGTGTGGAGCACGTCACGGATTTAAAGACCAGTGCTTTAGGAACCACATCAACATCAATTCGACTAGGAACATTGAACATTGATGTGTGAAACATTGGGGTCCATTTGGATCCATGTTGGATGGACCACCAGGACCGGCGCAAAACATGAGCGATGTGTAACCGAAGGACCGGTTCCACCAAGCAATTCTATATCAAGAACGGATCATGCAACCTCAGTAGATGTCCATGTTTACTTGCATAGGGGGCAACTCAAAACATGGGGAGTGCATCATTGTTGGTCATCCTGGAGCAACCAGAAGAAACCTGTCAACGCGTGCAGATGTTCTTCAACGGAAACATGTCGGTGGTCGCTGATTGTTGCAGCCTTTGATCAGGGGCGGGTTGAGTGTACTATTGTTTGATAGGTTGCAGCCTTTGATAGGTTGCATGGTTGTCGGTCGTTTCCTGTGCCGAAAACATGAAGCGCCATCAACAGCCAATTCTGTGGGACAACTGTGGGACACAATACATGTGGGATGCCGCCTTCGGGCACATCATGTGGTCCACTGAGTTGGATACTTTGCGGACCATCCCAACCTTTTAGCCGTGCTCCTTGGACACAGAGAGAGAGAGAGAGAGCGGTAGAGCCGGTGTTTTTCGGCCGTCCTTTTGGTGGTGAACGAACTCTGTGATGTCTCCGGGCGGTAGAGCTTGGTGTTCGATTTGAAGTGGATGGTGTTGGGACACCTGTATTGTTGGCTGCCACACCGACTCTTCGTTATGAAGCTTGGAAGCATTGTAAAGCATGAAATGATGCTGTGGTTGGAATCTATTGCAGAAAACCAATGAAGTGAGGCTGATCCTTTGTCGCTGGGCGATGTTCATCAGCAGCCTGCAACTCGGCAACAGGGTTTTCATGTCCCTCAATGCCTCTTCAGTTGAACGCCATGATGGACGTTCGCTTTGACATGTCGTTTGTGTTCTTTCAAAGACGTGTTTCTAGGCTGGTTATTCCAATTGGACAGCTCAAGACTTTTTTGGAAGGCTGGCAGGTTGGACCTATTTCAATGCACCTTTCAAGAACCAGTGGTGTGGTTACGGTATAGCTGCAGCACGCGTCTTGATGGACGTAAGAGGTCCGGAACACTGGGCGTCGAGTCCGAGGGAGACACGAGCATCGACGTCGAGGCGTGGTCGTGGTCGTCTTCTCAGACCCGACCGACGTTCACGTCCAAACCCGCTCGGGGAAGGAGGGCGTCGTCTCGTCGGCTCGGTCGGGCGTCTCGGAACCGAGAAGTGGCGGAAAGGTCCTTGGGGTGTGATGTCGATGTCGGATGACCCGGAACCGCCCACACCACCGCGCCTGGCTGGGCATCACCGGGCCGAAGCGCCGGTTCCGCGCCGCGCCTAGGCAGTTGTTTGAATCCGTGGGCCGCAACGTGGTTCCTTTGGCCCATGCGGTCACGCGTCCAGCCTCCCTCATTTTCTTGCTCTTCCTGAGACTTGGACTTGAAAACAGCCGATGACTCGTGGAGATGTTGGCACTAGGTGCTTGGCAGCTGGCACAAAAGAGCCAATTGCATGGAGAATCATGGAGATATTGTTTGACATGTCAAACAATTCTGGGCAAGCTTTCGCATCATCTCTTGGGTTTTCAATGCCATTGATCAGGGGAAGGCAGAGACATGCAGAGGCACATGCAATTCCGAAATTCAGCTTTGCAACTCCTTCACTCACTTGATCTCAGTGCCGGGACCAAAAGATCTGGGTCCTGAAAGGATGGGGAAAGCGATTTCAAAGACTCAAGTAGTTGACCTCTTGGATTCACTTAACTTAACCTCTTAGAAGCAAGGAATTGCTTACAAACTTAGGAATTGCGAAAATCCACCCTTTGCTGATTCGCACCATTCTTTCTGGGTGCCTACCTGTGAGCACTTCCAAGCTTCCCTTTGAGCACTGGACTTGCCGCCCAAGCTGCCGAGGACCTGCTCGTTGCTGGCCACCTTCCATGCCTATTTTGTTTTTCCCTTGCATCAGGAGACTTCCTTGGATACCGTCCTTGATCGTCACCTGTCCCTGAAGCTAGATGAGGGATGGGATGGGATGGGATGGGATGGGATGAGGGATGATGAAGGCAACTTGTTTCCCAAAAGCATGTAACAGCCCAAGGGCAAAGAATGAGGGCATCAGACATCTTGGTCATGCTCCTGCTGTTTACGCAGTATCCATCCACATGCTCAGCGGTTCCCCCCCTTCGGCGGCGATGGTCCAGTTGCTGTCCCACCATCGCACGACATGCTGGTCGGAATCGGGAATCCAACATCAGATGCTTGTTTCGTGGTAGAACGGAGACGGCCCTGGTTGTCTCTCTGGCCTCACGTCTCGGAGCACTTCATGCAGGCAAAATGCATAGCACAAAGTTGTTCAGTTGCGATTCTGATGGTTGAAAGATCCTTTATGCGACTCAGATCCTTCGAGCGAGGCGCAAGGAGACTGATTAGCCATGACCGACTGATTTTCGGCACAGCGAAGTACGAGATTCTGAGACCTCGACAGCCACTCCACAGCTGGAACCAACTCAACCCCCATGCGCCATGGCCCTCCCAGCTGGTTGTGAGGCCCTTCGAATCGCCACCTTTTTGAGGCCTCATCGACATGTTCCGATTGGAAATGTTGAGTGACTTCGACCTGGATGAGCTGCTCCTCGACCGACTTCGCGACGCCGCACCGGCTTCGTTGTCCCAGACACGACCTGTGTGCGAGCTGGCAAGTGACCTGCCATTGTTGCCTAATTATATGTTGGATGGTTTGAGGGGTCAATGTATGGCATATATTTGGAGTTTGTCCCTGTAAACTTGTACCAGTCGGTCAAGAAGAACATCACCATTTTAGAGAAGGGCCTTCACATGGGATGGCCCCAACAATACCCAATAATACCCAACATTCATTCCATACGTGGAGTGTTTGGGTATGGATTTTGGCGGAGGCTATGCAAAAAGGCTTGCACCAGTTGCAGACTTCGCTTGTCAGCGAGTGCCTGCCCAGCAAACTTTTGAGAAAGGACATTTAGACACAGCAAGAGAGGCATAGTCAATGTCGGTCATGTGCCCATGTCAATCGGTGTAGCAACTTGATTTGGATGGGCCATCTTAGCCCTTTAGCCTTGAACAACCTCATGTTGACAGCAACTGAAAGATCAAAGCTGTCATGTTGTTACTTGATTTTGGTGTCCTGTGGATCACCTGCCCAAGCATCTTGGGGCACAAAAAGCGACAGAATGGCCCCAACGGATGGAGTGCGTGGTTCACCAAGAATGGCCCAGGAGTTCGAGACAAAGACTCGTTTCTCAGATTTCAAGCCATGAAAAAGGGGTCAGAAAAACATCGAAACACCGACTACCCTACAGACCGTATACCCTACTCTTAAACCTCCATTTTCAGCACCAGTTGGATATCTCGACCTGAAGGATACCCCTATACAACTATGACCCCAAGGTCCGGGCCTTAACACCCCCCACCAAAGCAGGGTCCAGATCCACCTGCTTGCAGTGCTCAACGTCCGGACCCAGCGAGATTGGACCGATCGGACCGATCGGAGGGGTGATGCCTGTAGCGGGATGGTCGTACGTACGCGTGGAGACGCGTGGAGACGGATCCAACTTGTTTTGGGAGGACTCAGTGAATGTGGAGACAGTGAATGACAAGGCGAGCCGCAGACTGTGGTGATTCTTTTCCAGATCTCTAAGACTCCAAGGACTCTTCAACAGCCGATGGAGACTCCTCTCACACAATCTGAGGCAAAATCGGCATCGCAATGTGACTGGCAATATTTCCATCGTGGACCACGAGTTCACAGGCCTGGCCTGGTTGGATTTCTTTCAACGAGAAGGACCACAGCTGTGGACCACAGCTGTCCACTCTGTCCACTCTTCGATCCAGCGACTGTCAGGCAGCCTGCGGCATGGAGGTGAAAGGCGTGTTGTTCTTATTTGAGAAAAGTGCAGGGTTATGGATGTGAGGATCCCAAAGATGACGCGCGTGGCAGGCAGTATCAAGGAATCCGGGTGGGCTTTGTCTTGATCAGCCTCAGCCTGTCGGATCCATGGCTCAGCCGGATGCTCCGATTTTTCCTTTCGGGGCCGGTTCTGCTGGGGGTGTTAGGGGTTCGATCGAAGTGACTAAACGTTTCGACTTGAGCCAGAAATGTGCCAAGCCATCCAAGCAGGAAGTATATCGAACATCTCAAACGGATTCCGAGGAATCTGAGCCCCAAGATGTCAAGGGTGCCCAAGATGCACACCCCAGTCGATTCTCGATCAATGGTGGCAGAAACACCCGTTTTTCGGGGTCCAAGCGCTATTCTGCCTGGATCCGTCCGGTCAAACGTGGGGTTGCTGTCAAACCAACGTAGTACCCGTTGAAGCAAGAACTCCTGGCACTACCTGGAGAGGTCCCCACACTACCTGGAGAGGACCCCACACTCCGCAAGCGCGGACTCTATGGTCCACTGGACTCGGGATGCTTGATTGTCATGGCCGACCTGGAACCCCATCATCATGTTGGAACAACGAACAGCAAGGACGCTACGAACGGGGCTCCTGGCCTTACTACTAGAACGATCGGACGCTACTAGGGAACAAAGGGCATCGCCGCTACGAACTAACAGCGATCGGACGCTACGAACGGGGCCCCGTTCCGGAGAGGTGAACTTGGGGGACATGCGGGACACGCGCAAAACTCGCGTGAAACTCACCGCGTGAAAAACCATTCCCAAGGTGGTGGCGATGAATACTTACATCGGTCTCCTGGGGGAGCTATATACTGAAGCCGTGCAGAAGAAGAATCAGATCCTTGGCAAGAAGATCTTGGCTTATTCCAAGCTTGCCTGGAGTAATCTGGAGTAGCCCCAACCAGAAATGCCAGAAACACATGTTTCAATGATGGCAATATGGAGACTTCTTGAAATAAAGTCGCTGCGTACGTCCTGGAGAGTCTTGAGCCTTTTTGAGCTTGCACTTTAAGGGGCCTCAATCAGCCCAGTGGGACCACCAGCTGAATGGGGGTTTGGTTTAGGGTAGCCCTCCGCGGCCTGGCCGCGGCCTCCGCGTCGAACCGGGATCGTGATGACTGTGCCAGGATCTACAACAACTATTTGGCCACGGTCCTTTGGCCCCACTTGTCGATGCCACTTGGACCGTCGATCACGTCGAGTCCGGCATACGTAGTCCGCCAGGCACGCTCGGTCCTAACTGATGCCGGAGAATCGCTGCGTCGGTGAGGAAAGACGCGTCGTGACGTATCTAGTCATATTTCGTCAATTTGGTGGCGGATTCGGTATTTTGGAGTTTCCCTGATGGGATGTTTTTTAAGCCCTGTGGGCAAGATGCTGGACTTCCCCGAGGATATCCTTCAAGCACCTTTAAGCAAATTGCGTGTTCGTTCGTAGTGAAATTGGACAATCCTGAAGAATCCATATGGTCCTCGGACATCGCCGGCGATGCCCAATCCATGGATGTTCGAACGCTCCAAGAACTCAGCGGTTTTCTTTGCGTGTTCTTTCCAGGATGAATCTCAGTGATGCATCGTCCGCATAGTTCAATTGGTCTTTTCAGCTCCTTGAGGCGACATCGCAGCCATGCCTGTTGCTCCGGCCCGGCGTCCCACCGCTTGTGCCTGGTGGAGTGGGAGGGAGGGGGGTCAAAGATGTGCTGCTGGGTGGTGTTAAAATGTGGCTATGCAGTTTTGCTTTTCAACCTTTACTTGGGATGACAGGAACCCACTCATGTCTTCGAAAGCACCACCAGGCTGGCGTGATTTCGTCCCCACGTGGTCAAAAGTCTCATGGTGGGCCTCTTTGGGTGTGGGTCATGGCACCGGGCCACCTGAGTTGACCACTGAGAGGAAGAACAGAGGTGACCAGAGATCCGGGTGCCACCCACAGCCACATGTGTGCTTTGCGAATGACCGGCTCTGGGTTTCCAGGGCCAGGCGCCCGCCTGAGATATCTGAGATCGCAGCTGTCTATGTTGAAAGTACCAGAAGCAATGGGTGGCACACTCTCAATTGAGCCAGCAAAGTAGAAAGCTCCACATGGTAGGTTGCCGCGGGCTAGTTTGCTTCATGGAGTACCCTACTTGGTGACATCGACTTCTTGCTTGTGAGCTTGCTAGGTCATGAGATGCAAAGGTGACAACAAGTGACTTCTGACTTGATTTACTTAGAGCCCGCCAAAAGTAGATGCGATACAGAGCATGCTCACATGGGCCTTTGTTTCTTTCCTCCAACACATGTTAACACCCCTGGAAACACTTTGGTTTAGATTTTGTTTTTCCTCGCTCGCTTGAACGGTACTCCTGTCCATGTGGGTACAAGCGTCGTTGTGGTTGCTCTAGTCACAGCGAACTAGTGCTCCAGCACAATGATTTGGAACGAAACCTCAAAACTGCCTTGGTTTTGTCTCCACATACCAGGTCTGGTTCATTGGGGACACAGCCCTGTGTCTCCACCCTTTGTCTCCACACCTGCAGGGGCCGAAGCCACCGATTGCGAAGACCAGGCAGCGCAACCGCGCGCGGCGCGGTGGCGGGGTGCAGGGGTCGGATCGGGTCAGGGATCTTCCAGCAGCGAGGCCCAGAGCTCAAGCCAAGCCAGCTGAGACCAGGTTCGGTTGATGCAGGTTTGGCACATGTTCTGTGTCCCCCCAAAGTGAAGTGTCCGACGACCTACTGGATGACAATTTATCGTGCCATGTCGTGTCCATGCTTTGATTTATGTTTATCCTGAATCAAGGGGAAAGGACCTGGTCATGTTTTGATTTCACCTGCAGAAGACTGAAAAAGGATGGCCCCTCTGAAAATTCCAAAGAAACCCCCTCCTCACCTGCGTCGATCTCATGGCTCGGCGGCAGCGCGGATTGTAGATCTCATGACGACGCCATCGATTCAGGCTCGAAGATGGGCCCGAGGCCTACCCTCTTGGTGAGCAGATTCTTTCATTGGTGTTCTACCGGTTGTTCGTAGCTCGCGAGACTCCGAGAGCTTCTCAAAATCAAAGCAGTCCACTGACTGGTTGTTCCCTTCCACTGTTTGAATTCGGTTCTTAAAACACATCTGGAATTCACATCCATCATGAAGTTAGTGTATAAAGGTTGTGTGTACTATATGTGTTGTGATTAGTTTCAGCCAGAATGCCTCCAATTTGTTGGCAGCAGAGATGTTCATGGCAGATGAACCCTTCCGTGTTATTTCAGGGACCACCCCAATCCTCCCACTTCGGATGTCATTTGGACCTGAACGACTCAAATGCCTTTAAGATCTTTAAGGACCAATTTGCTCATGGAGTTCGTCGTATTCCTCCGTCTTTCGGCAGAGGACAAAGCAGAAGCCTGCTGGATGCTACACGGCAGAATTGTTTGGTTTTGGCAAGGCGGATTTGCTGTTGGTCATGACCATGGGTCGTGTCAAACATGAACGCAATGACTATAGTTAGAGGCACAGCCTCGACTCTGGAGCATGCTCGTGTTCTTGATTGACTACACATTTTTCATGCCCATGACAACCTACAGCTGTGTACCTAGACCTAGCAGGACCTAGCAGTTCTTTCTTGGGCTGCGCCGTTTTGGATATCTCACTTCATCCCACCCGACCACATCGTCCGACTTCAGGGCGACAGAGCCGTTCACGGTGAGTAAGGGCGTGTCTTTGCATTGCACATCTGCAGGGCGGAAAAGGTTGAGGCTGCAGCCACATCTGGGTAACGACATCTACACTTGGTGGTCATCTCAGTCCCAGACATACCCCCTCTGAAGCCTTCGTTGAGTTAGAACCCACGTCATCCACCCAGGGCCGAAAACGCGGCCCAGGCCGTTTTCGGTCGTCATCGCCCTGACCCATCGCCCCAGGTTCTACGATCGCAGTGACCTCTTCGACGGCTGCGACCCCGAGTCGCCGGGCGCGCGACGGGAGCGGCGAGCCGCTCCCGTCGCGCCGGGGGAGCGCGGCTCCTTCCGCAGAGACTCGCGATGAGCGGCGCTTCGAAGGAGGAGAGGAGTGGAAAGAGGCCGAGATCAGGTAGAAGGAGCAGGCATGATCATGCTGACCCTTGGGGAATGTCACAATAGAGATATGAGATTTGTTCGACATTGAGAGGACATTAATATTTCATGATAATGATTGAGAATGAGATCATGCCCTCACCGCTGAGTTTGCGGTCCTGGATGTTTGACGTGTTGTTCTTCTCTTCAGGCATTTCAATATGTGTTCTGGAGATGAGGCTTGCTACTTGCTAGGATCTAGAAGCCCCTGAAGCTAGGAAACTGTTGGTAATCTGGTTCTTCAAAGTGACCTTTTGATAAGCTGGTTGGTTCGGTCACTTAAGCCTCCTTTACGGGTCACTTAGGGAACCTTCAAATGGTCACTTTGAAACTGTTGGTAAGATGTTAATTTTGTTGAATTTTCTTGGTTCCCGCGAGGGATTTGCACAACGTCCACGCTGTTCACCAGACTTGTTGACGGGCTCCGACTGCGAAGAAGCAAAGACCATTGAGCAGGAGCGGGTCTACTGGACCGACAAAGGACCATTCGTGAAAACATAATATGAGAACATGTATATATATATATATATATTAGGCTTAGTTGCTCCATAAATCGCAAGAGTCAGCATCCTTTGTGTACGACACGAATGCCAGATATCGATGTTGGTTTTCTTCCAGATGGAGATACTTTCTTGTGACACGGTGTCCATGCCACCTGGCTGCCCGACGTGGAAATCGCGGCCCGGCCTCCAGTGGCTGAAATTGTAGACGAAATGGTGCACACTCCATTTTGTGCCACTGGCAACCGCCTCCAGCCAGAAGAAACCTTTAAACATATCAGTCACAAGTCATCCGGGCCGCCTTTTAGAGACGCTCAGAGCCTCTGACGCTTCGGGCAAGAGGTTGGGAGCGGTTCATGACAGGGGGAAAGTCCTATCACAGACGCAGAGTCTTGTCCTTGCGTTGATCAATCTAGAGGAGAATTACATCTTTGGCCTGGATTTCAATCAACAATTTGATACAATTTGTATGAATGCAAGCATCTAAAATGATGTTCGATGCTTGGTAGTACACCCATTGCCTGTATCAGATATCATCAGTTCTTGAAGGGGAGTGGAGCTGACCGAGTAGGAACATTTTGCACAGTTTCCTCAGAGACTGTGTTATGGAGTCTTTTGGCGGTATTTTTGTACGTTTTCAAGGGTTTTTTTTGGGGCCAAATGGTTTCATCGTCATTCGAGTATGCTTTCAAGGGATTTGGGGGGCCAAATGGTGTCATCGTCATTTGAGATGAACAGGCTTCAACAGTGTTGCTTTGCTTTGCAATCTTTGTGGATGGAAGGAGTTTGCCCGTGGTACTTTGCATGTTACCTAAGTTCCTAACACGCTTCAATTGCCCAGCTGACTCGTTGTGGTGATGACTCAGTAGGCAACAGGTGGGACAATTGGGATGAAGCTGTTTGTCACCAGAGTCACCAAACTTTGTTTGTAGGACTAAGAATGGACCATGTTTTGTCAACGAAGCAGAACCTCTTTGGTGCTTGTTTTGTTGTAGCAAGGTGAAAATTCCTGGTGCAAGTGCAGATGATTGTCACAACGTCCAACTTTTCCTTATGTCCTGACTTGGTAGATCCCGAGAGACTTAGCTTGCAGCCAAAGGGAGCTACACTTCATGTAGCCTGCTGCAGTTGACCGACCGGCTATGGGGGCGTCGAACAGTGAAGAAATGCTTTTGCGAGTACTTCCCTTTTGGACATGACTTTGGTTGTTTCCCGTTTCCCTCTTTATTCCCTTTGTATATCTTTCCATATTTTTCCCCATTTTGTATTCCGGGAATGAGTGAATAATCCATATCACCATTTGCTTAGTCGATGTTTCCTGTCTTCTGAGTCTACTGAACGTTCGGATCCAACTTGCGAAACCGAAAACGACGACCTGAAAAGCCATAGACGGACAAGACATGATCCTGCCAAAACGTTTCTTTAAATGAACCACTGCTAGCGATTCCCTAGCTGCTAGCGATTCCCTGGCACCCATGTGTTACATTTAACAAATCATTTAGAATCATTCCCTTGAGCCAAGTATGTGTCCGTCTTCATGTAGTGGATCCACTTCGCTGTTGTTTTCTTGCTAGTGACGCCTGGCCCGGCCCTGTTGCCCCGGTACGGAATGATCCTTCTGTGCTCAGAATCTGGGCATTTGGAGACTGCAAGAACCAGGTTCAACACCCTTCAAAGAATGAGGTATTTCAATGTATTTTATATAGATTCCTTGCAGAAACTCAGCAGATTCCAAGCCCCCCTTTTTCATGCCCTCCAAAAAAGTCAGGTGTACCTCGAAAAGTGAACCGGAAACGATACAAAAACACTCTTGTTTGGGGTCTCGTTCCGATTTCGAAAGGGGGTCAACCCCCACCCCAACCCCGCCCCAACCCGGCCCGTGCATGATTGAGCGTCGACCCCCAGTATTTGCCAGGCCTGAAAAGGTTTGACCATCCATGTCTGGGGGATTATAGAATCAAGAGTCTACATCAGGTTTCCAGGAGTCTTGGAGAATTCTCATCTGAACATCCACTGCCGCAGCGACTTTGATGCAGTGTCCAACCTTATAAGATCTGTCGTCGGACTCGTGCCCCAAAGCCGGGTGCGCCGCGTTTACCACGTCGTCGTTGGCACGTCTGTCACCGCGTAAATTGTGTGGGCGATCATGGAAGTTTGCGCATCCACACCTTACGGATGATTGACAGCACATGACAGCACCATACGAAGCTTGGAGATGTGATCGGTGGGCTCCACTACATGCGAGTACTGAAGTAGACCATGAGTACTGTAGACGGCGAAGAATCACAAGTCTTGAGTTGCCCTTAGATTGATGAGCCAGGCTTGAAACCAAAAGCTCAATTAACTAGCTTAGTTCGGAGTAAGATTAAGATTATTATGATACAATGCTGTTTTTGGGTCGAATGTGTCCCAATGTATGCAGGTACCCATCAAGACAAGATAATCCAAACAAAGACACCCCTTGCAAATTCCCTATACATATATTGAAGTGCGAGGGCCAGAACGTTGACTTCTTTTGATCCGTGAATCGCTCTCTACATCCAGAGACATCCACATCGGACCTTCGCAGACCGACATCACGGACCTACGCAGGGCCAGCGCATGTTTTTTCTAATTCCGAATGGCGTATTGCCAGCTCTCCCGCGAAGAGACCGATGAGGCGCGCAATTGGCGATTGGGCCGCGTGATGTGGCCACGGCTTCTTTGCGCAATTGGCCCCAAAACTGGGGTCCTGGGTTGGCCCTTTGGGTTGGCCCTTTGGGTTGGCCCTTTGGAATGCTTTGGAGGTTAGCTAGAAGCAGCTAGAAGTGCATTTGTCCTGCTTATTTTGGACCAAAACACGGATAGTTTGTTCATCAATTTGGACCACTTGTGGGGGTCACACCACACACTCGGAGATCTATGACAATGTATGACAATTGGATTTTGGTTGTGCTTCGTCTTCATGGATCTTCCATATCTTTTTGGGGGTGGTCTCGCGTTGAAACAAAACACATCAAAGACGCACCAAAACACCTCAGGTCCCCTTCCATGGCAGGACTTGGAGTCTGGCCAGTTGTCAGAGGGCAGCGACCCGAGCGAGGAAGAAAGGACAGGCGACCGGGACAGCGAGGATGATCTCGCTCGTGACCTGAGCAAGAGCCTGGGCAAATTGTCTTTCGGGTTACTGTGGACATGTGGTTTGGAGAATCGTTGGAGTAGAGGGATGTTGTTCTTTGTTGTGTTTGTTTGTTTGTTTCTGGATGGCCGAGATCAGAGATTTGTTCTTTTGACCGCATATAGAGAAAGATGCTCAATATCACAGTGGACATTTTCAGAATGCCCCCTGGATGAGCTTGAGAGATGCCCACCACTTTCAACTGGCAAAGCGCCTAGATCTCCGACTCTGAGCAACAGGAAGAAGCGTCGCTATATATAAATTGAGAGATAATATCATCCAGATGTGATGTGAAATGGTGTAGAACATCGTAGAACCAGACAGGATGATTCTGAGCCCGAAGACATCCGAAGACAAACAATCTGCGGGAAAGCTTTTGGTCACAGACTGTGAATCATCGAGTCATCCGCAAGTCCACTGGAGCATGGTTCACTACAGCTAATTCTGACCCACTCCTAACCTATATGCGTGAATGTCTTTTGTGGGTCCGGCTACTTGAACCCCCATAACTGGCGAATCTTGTAGAAGCCACTCCTAAAGCAAGTTTGCGGTTCTTCTTCAGGGTCCCTCGGCATAAAAGACATCTGAGGATGGTCAAGTGGATGAAGTCACTGGAAGAGCTCAGCAAAGAACAGCACTTCTGGGGTGACGAGGAGTCGGAGGACTGCATCGTAAAAATTTGTCGGGAATGGCTTCATCGAGAGAAAGCAAGAACCAGGGAAGGGGGAAGGCTGTGAAGAGGTGAGTGGAAATCGAGAGGATCCAGATTTGGGCCGACATGTCCAGATGGGCGCCATATTTACTTCTATCGCTCAAGGTCACAAGCTTTGGGTTGCTCCAAAGGGGTAGCTTTTCAGAGTTGAAGCTGTGGGATGCGACGACGAAGAACAGCGACTGCAGCCAGCAACTATTGTAAAATCCTGACTCCTCATATCCGGACGAAGATCCTCGGGCACGAGAGAACCTGTTTGTGCACTAGAGAACTGTTGATGTTAAGACGCACCGTTGATGTTAAGCGCTGTGTTCATGCCATCATCCAAAACTGGAAGACTGCTTAAATAAAGATCCTAGAGTTCTAAAGTTGGTCGGTGTAGAAAGGTCTTAAGTTTGCGACCTGTGTGGGTTTCCTGGTGTTTGAGTTTCATGTGTTTTTTTTTGGCATCATAAGGCTTTGTGGTTGCTTGTTGTTGGTGAGTTTATTGGCCTTCTAGGTTTCTTCTTGTGGTTTCCTATCGTTTCCTGGTGTTTGTTGACAGAACACCCTAAGCAACAATCGAATCACATTGAATCCAATTCCTAGCAAGCCAAAACCAATTGCCAAGCCAGCTAAGCCGTGCCCCAAATCAACATGAAACCCCAAAGTTGTCGCCGCACCACAGGAGAGGAATATTGATTTCAACCTGAGACTGGTTTCTCTGAATGAGATGAAGAAGAAGGAGGAGGAGGCCAGGATACAAATTAACCCCCTTAAGGCGAAACATGGAGGGATTCGTCATATTACAAACGACTTCATGACTGCAGTGATTGGTTGGGCAGTGGAGTAGTTGTTTGTTTGTTTGTTTTTTGTTCCCATGTAACGTGCCGCCACCACCGCAACTGCTAGAGGGAAGCCGCCCCCTAAATCTTTGCGTCATGCGGTCATGCGTATGGTCGCAAGTGTTGCCAATCTTCCCTCCGGTGGGATTGGACGAGGAATCAAGACTGCAGAAGATTTTGGACGAGTTTGCGGCCAACTTTCCCACACAGGACAGAACGAACTTGGACGGCCGAAGACGAGACGCCAAAACGTGCGGCAAGTGGTTTTTTCCCGAAAGCATTGCGAAGGGTTCTTCCGGAAAATCCTTTGAACACTGACACTTCGACACTCACACTGACACACTTACACTTCGACACTCACACTGACACACACACACACACACTGGAAGAGCGAAAGCATCCAAGTGCGAAGTATGCCAGGGCGAAAGCATCCAAGTGCGAAGTATGCCAGGGTCAAAGTATGCAAGTGTGAGTATGCAAGCATGCAATGACTATGCAAGGGCAAGTGTGAGTATGGAAAATATGGAAAAACTAGCACGGGAGATGTCCTAATGAAAAAACATTTCCCCACTTTATAAATTCTCTCTTAAAGGCGGAGTGTGGGACGAACAGCGTCAACCGAAAGTGCAACCCTCTGCGGAGATCGTGCGTGTGGAGTGCGCGAAATGCAGGCGAGAGTGCGATTTGTCCGGTCCGCGCGC